TATGCTTGGCACTTTGTAAAAGTTTGGGACTATTGGAAGCTCTCCACTTTGTACCCCATACCCCTGTTTAAGGGCAAAGCCTACCTCTGTTGCAGGAAGAATGGCTGGGGAAATAAACAGAGCCATTAGCTTAGTCTTTCTTTTTCTTGACTTCGGATTGTGCCTTCCCTGTCTGCTCTTATCTAGGGTCTGCTTGTGCTGGGTGATGGAATCAAGTAGAAGTGAATAAATTGAGATGAAGTGTGGTTAAATGTTTACCTTCAGCCTCTCAGGAGTGTGTGACCAGGCAACAGAAGTGGCAGTACTTAAATATGTGTTTTGGGTGGAAAAACTTGGTGGGTTATACTGCTTTGGCTAGAGACCTAGGTTGAGTCTGTGAGTGGCGTTCAACTGTCTACCCTTGAAAAAAGACTTCTGCTGAGCACATTCGAAATTGTTTCATACAGATCACATTCTTTGGGAATAGTTAGCTGGGATAATCCAAGGTTGCATAGAGTGACAGATAGGAGCAGCATTTTTTTTTCCATGTCTAGCTATACAGAATTTACATGTACTAGATTGCTCTTGTAACATCCAGGTCAGTGTTAAGCAAGATACCATCTATGCTGGGCAGGGTCAAGGTTACGGTAGGCATTCTTTCTTGTGGTCCTACCCACCTGTGCTCTCCAACTTCGTATACTCATCTCTGTGAGAACCCTCAAACAAAATGCCATGGCAGACAAGGTGAACAAGAAATTGCCAGAGACTGCAAATTGGTTATATTCAGAATAGGGAGAAAGAATCTTAGCCAGGCTATATTTGATATCCAAACCCGTGGAAAAAAAACGAGAATTTGCCATCAAGTTTTGGGGGACAGAATTGTTAGGCAAATTTTGTTGTTCTATTTTTTAAAAGAAAAAGAAAGGAATTGACTGGTGTGTAGTACAGTTGTACAGAGGGAAGAATGAGAAAACAAATCTTAGGAACATCATTTGGAGGGGGAAAAACCCAACCCAGAATAATGATCATTTCCTTTCTCTAGAATTTGATGTAGCAGGCACATCCCAGAAATGGAGGAGGAAGGGGAGGAATTTGAAAGTTTTCTGAACAGGAAGTTTTTTTCTTGTGTAGAAGGCAGGTGAGTTAGTGACTACAAATCAGATTCAGGGAAAAAAATTAAGGAGTGAAAGAGGGGGGAGAAACAGCATAGTTCTTTTTTAAAATCCAGACTAAGTCAAAATCAAGGAATATTTAATATATCCACCTTAGAGTCTGAGGCATTTTGAAGATTTCATTTTGAAGAAATTGATGTGGAGCTAGAAAGACAGGTTAAAAGTTAGACATTTTAGGATTTGGGTTTTTTATTTCACTTTTATTTGAAGTTTAAGTTATAAATATTATGTTTTAAACAGATAGTATTATGTATTAGAAAACTTGTGAAGACACACAAGGTTAGTTAATGATGAAATATAGTAAGAGGATTTTAAAACTGTGGAGTCACGAATAAGACCCTTTATTCCCCAGACATGTTAATGGAAAAATAAAATACAGAACAACTGTGGGTATGAGGAACTGCAAAGTTATGATAGTTTTGTGATAAAATCTAAAACAGAATTAAAAAAAAATTTCCAGAATTAATTATATTATTTGCAACCTTTTTAATCTAACATTAAAACTCAGAAATTCAAATATCTTTCAACCCATTGTGATTTTTCAGAGGGCAGGGATGACCATAATTATTTACTTAGTTTTTTTTTTAATTTCTGTAGGAAAATATCACAGGTTTTACCTCCTTAGAGCCTGTGAATGTTTCCTTTCTTTCCCTTTTTACTTTTCCTTTCCTTTCCCCCTCCCTCCCTCCTTCCTTTCCTTCTTTGAGATTTTAAGTTAAAACTTTCCTTTTTTGGGTAAGGAGATATATTTTACTCTTTATTTATTAGTTGACAATGCGGCATTTTAATCAGAAAGTAACAAGTAACAAGTACTTCCACTTTGCTTGTCCTAATTGATAGAGAACATGGAAATCACAGAAAGAAGGAATATTAAATTAAATTAAGGTGCTTAATTAGAAATTTTTATTTAAAGACATCAGTTTCTTGGTTAAAGAGAAAGAAAAAAATTTTGCTTGCTCTTTGTCATAGGCTGCCAATGCAGGGTTCACATGAGGAATCTTTGAAGAGAATTTAAAACAGGCCAAAATTAAAATGAAATCTATATATATGATGCAAAGTCAGAAACAAAGAGATTTTGTTTTTAGATAATTATCCTAAACATAGACATCGACCAATCAAAGAATAAAAAATACTATTAGGGTGAATTTGAAAGACAGGTTCTTCCTTGAAAAACAGGCCAAGAAATTCAAATTAATTAAGGTTTGAGCAATAACGGGAGATGCTAATTGTTTTGAAGGGTCAGAATATAAATATAAACAATTTGTTTAATCTGCCAAAACCTTCCAGTTCATGTGTGGCCCCTCTTCAGATTTTGGTAATTATGTTACAACAGTAATGTAAGATAAAAATAGATGACTAATTTTTGAGCATCAGTAACCCATTCTACTTTTACTAATACTTTTAGTAGCATTATTTATTTATGTGGATGATATAATTTTCATGCCCCAAAAAACAGATGTTTAAAAACAGACTAAAAATGCAGTTACAGTATCTAAAAAGACAACTTAAAATTTGTTAAGTATTATTTTAAATTAAAACAAGGAAGTGGTTATAGAAACCACACATAGAATTTCTTATAACTATAAAAGGCATGTTTTAGATGCATCAACAGCACACATTTAAGAGAAGAAATAGGTTTCCATATTTATCTTAAATTGATGTATAAATTCTCAAAAGAACACAAGATATCTGGTAATTTCAAATATATTAATACAGTTAGATTCAAGTATTTTGAAAAAAATTAGTATAGAGTTTAGGTTTCAAAATAATACACGTTAAGAATTCATGTAGTAAAATAGAATTTAAGAACATTGGTAGAAAAAGTAAATTTCTTGGAATGGAGCTAAAAAAAATTCATTTCCACAATAAAACTGCTCTCTTCCTATAAAAATATGTTTATTAGTATCAGTTCTATAGTGTAAGGCTCACTTTAATTACTTAGATAAGATATATTGAGCTAAATTGTTTTTCAATGAAAGACTATGGTAAACAGAAAAAAATTAGAAAGTATTTCTATTGTAATTCTTACATAAAGTTCTTTAATACAGTAACTTTAATTTTTGTTGTTATAGTTAAAGTCAAAGAAAATACGATTGATTTAATAGAAAACATGGTTTCATAACCATGAGAGGAAAGTTACAAGCATGGATAAATATATGAAATCGGTTTCATTTCTTCCTTGTCTCTGAACCCTTCTTATAAATCAAAATCAAATGCTTAACAGCAAGAGAATGATATATAAAATATGCATCAATTGTCTACGTTTTGGTAGTTATTTAATAATAGAGGGAAAATGAAACTTTGTCCAGCTAAATACTAAGTGCTAAGTGAAAATTAGAAAGATATGAAATCTAAAATAGTATAACAACTAAAATTTCAAACACACACACATTTATAATTTTTATATTTTAGTATGTAGTGTCGCATTTGTTGTAATTGTTTATGAAAGTACAGATTGAAATAAGAAAGTAAATGATGGACAAGCATTTTTCTCTTTGTAGTTTACTAGATGTAAAATATATTAACAAATCAGCTATAACATTAAGTAGGGAATCACTTAAAATAGAATTTGAAGAATTTTACTGACGATATATCTATATAAAAGGCTTTGTAAGGGAGGTTTTGTGTGTGTAGTAGGCTTTCTGAGTTTTGTGACCTGAAATTCATGACATATTTTGAATGCCCTTTCAAATTTCAAAATCCTGCAGTGGAAAAAGTAGACATCATGTGCATTTTACCTTATATTTGGGAACAGGAAAAGCAATGGATATTTTGGAAGAATGCTAACTGTTATTTTAGTGCATGCATCAAACCCCAAACAATTGCTTTAGTCCTTAGTCAGTTTTCTGTCTGGAAATGTTAGTTTGTGCATGTACATCATGAACTCTGTAAGTTATATTGATATAATAATCTCTAAAATTACTTGTTAATTTTTACTGGAATTATGGCCAAAAATATTTGAAGGAAATGCATTTAAAACTCGTATTTTTAATTAAATTGAAGCAGACTTTGAAAATGTTCATCCATGAGTAAATATGAAATTGTACAGTTTCCAGAAAGAATGAATTCTCAGTATATTTTTTAAAAATCTTATAAGAATGTTTATTTGTTGTATTTTTTGGCATCCTAAAGTCAGGGGGGAAATGGCATTATATTTTGTTGTTATTGATAATCTTTCTGTGGAGAAAGGGAAATGTTGCTAGCACATGGGGTTTTCTTCCTAAAATTTCAGCTTGAAATTGAAACTGCACGTTGTCCAGAGTTAATTTTTCTCATTAAGACTCATTTTGAGTTCCATGAAGTTTGTAAGTTAATGTACTTGAAGAAAACATTGTTTTATTAAATGGAGAGATGTAATACATTGTAGCAGTTACAGGATGGTCTTTGTCTAGATTCCCAGAAATTTAGAAAATGTATTTTAAATTAAAATAGTGTTTAGTAAAAGATTCTGTGAGGTAGAATAATTTAGAAAAATACCTAGAAAATTATAAAGGTTGAATGGAAAATTAATTGAACCTAAATATACCCTTGCTATAGTGAATATTTGACAGTGTGACATCTCTGGAGATTAACAAAAATTACTCTGTCAGGGACAATGTTCTGGGAAGCTGAAATTGTTTTTATGATAAAGGGAAGAGTCAGGATAGTGTAAATGTAGTTGTTGGTCAAAAATTTCTAAGTTACTTTCGGATTGTGAGGGTTGAAGTAGGTGCAACAGTTTGGTTTCAGGACGAGGCAAAGAGCAGGGATCGCCTGCACTGGAGTCACTACAGGGTTAACTGCTGGGCCGCCCGCTGCACTCTGGGAGTTGTAGTTCTCGGGCATTGTGGGAGTTGTCGTAAAAATTCCGCTCTTTTTTGCTGTCATGGCGGCCTCCGAGATGGCTATAAGAGGTTGTCTGCTTTTCTGAGGGTCTTGGGGGACTGCCCGGCCCGTTAAAATGCCACCAGCAGCCCCCTGGGGTGGCCAGGGACCTGGCAATCTTGTCCCGGGCGTGGACAAGCGACCTGAGAGGGTTCATGCGGGACTTACAGTGTTTCCATGAGCCAGGGAGGCCTCTGGGATCTGTGAACTGCTTGAGGGGTCGCAGGCGGCCACATCTGGTGGTCTGGCCTTGTGGCCTGTGCCTGGGTGCCTGGGTGTGCTTTCTGCTGTTATGGTTTTGTTCTGCTCGGGACTCTTGTCTTTGTAATCGTGGTTGCTCAGAATCGGTTATTGCTGCACTTTTTTTCCTGGGGGTAGTGGAGCTTAGTGAAGAGCCAAAATTTTAGCAAGTGTGTTTATGTGGAGTGTTGTCTGTGTAGCTTGGTGTGTCAGAGTTTTCATGAGTTATCAGCGTGAGTATGGACGTGTATTTGGCTGTCTTTGCTTGTACTGAACTTTGTCCTTGTTTGCCAAAGTTGCTTGTCAAGCAGTTTCCTCTTGTGAATTCTCTTCTGTTAGCATGGATGTGTTCTAAATTTGAACGAAAGTCCCAGGAGTGTTTTGTCTTGTTTTAAATTGTTTGTGGAAAGATATATGTACAAAGCTGAACTGAAAGCATATGCCAGCATCATAAGTACCTTTATCTTTAGAGAGCAAGCCTCGGTGGCTTCCCTGATGCTGAGAAATTGTTTGGATTCTTTTGGGGGACCCAGTTTGTTATTGCCCGTGTTACATTTGGCTCACCGTGTTTCTCTGCTTGGTGAGACTTTGATCTTTGATATTGGGCCCTGTGAACACTTAAGGCAAAATGAATCACTGTATTTTGGCATGAAGTTGCATGGTTTGAGAATCTTAGGGTATTAGGGTAATATATGCTTGCTGAGCATGCCAGTACCTGCCTTGTCTTACCAGGACATACAAATTTGGGGCTCCATGTTACTGCCAGTTGTGTACTCTTACATATGTGCCCTTTGTTTCCATAATGGAGTTATTAACCTGGTGAGGTGTGACTGGTCATGACAAAAATACAAAGTTTTACCACTCACATTTGATGAAGGGATTTGTAATAAGGTTTTGGAAATCTGATATCAATTTTTAAACTTAAAAGCAGTCATGTGACTGGACTTACAGAGAAAGTGAAAATATGTTGCATCATGGTTGGTATTTTGTAACATGTAAAAACAGTTCTGTTGGTTGGGTTTCTTTTGTTTCTTTGTTTTGGGGTGTGTGTGTGTTTGTGTGTGTGTGTGTGTGTGTGTGTGTGTGTGTGTGCTATTTCACATTAGAATATTGTTTAAAAAGGTTTTGATGTGTGTGGTAAGTGTGATTTTCCTAACTCTTCTCATCTTTGCATTTACTTTGTATCAGACCACTTGACTGTAGTAGGAAAAAAGAAAGAACCTGCTAGAATTGTATGTGCAGTTCTGTTTAAAGTGGTTTCAGTTTTATATCTATAGATTCATATTGCTTGTTGCCTTGCTAGTCAGCCAGAAATGTCCCCTCCTTTGTCCTAACTGCTGTTATTTAACTCATTTGTAAAGATTGAGAAATTTCTTTTAAAATGATCTGTACTGCCCAGTTTTCTTACTGTGTGGTGGTGTGGCAGAATGCACTGATGCTAGCAAACTGTCTCTGTTTCTGGGGAGGTCAAATGTCCAGAGCCAGTGGGTTTGTAGAGTCATTCCAAAGTGCCACAGGTACAGGCTTAATCTGCTTTGAAGGAAGTTACAGTTATCTCTGACTTGTTAAATAGTGCATTATGAAGTGTTCCAAAGGTGCTCTGGGAAGGGCAAGGTGCTGGCTTCAGTAAGGTGTAACCATTGCCTTAGCACAGAGCATTCCTGGGTATGTATATAAATAGATAACATTTCTCTCTGGAACAGTGAGATTTGTGTGCTTGAGAATTCTGGTATTTAATTCACAAAGCTTCTGTTTGGTACTGTGCTTCCCACTGTTGCATTCTGGTCCTGTGACTGCTATGGAATGTCTTCTGTGTTATACTGTAGCCGTGGTAGTTGTTTCAGAAAAGAATATATGGTAGGACCCACTTTTATTTCCCGTTTATTTGTATGTTTAAGGTTGTACTTGATGTGCCAAAAACTGTCATTTGGAGCTTAATTTACAAGACTTCACTGAAATTCCTTTAAGTGTGAAGTAACACCAAAGGTTAATTTATTGAGTTGTATTTGTGTGTGTGTGTGTGTGTGTGTGTGTGTGGAGAGAGAGAGAGAGAGTATGTAGAAAGGAAGGAGAGAGAGAGAGAGAGAGAGAGAGAGAGCAGGATCAGGACAACTTGTGGAAGTTAGTTTTCTCCTTCCATCATGTGGGTCCCAGGGTTCAAACTCAGATTATCAGGCTTAGTAGCAAACATCTTCATTCAATGAACTATCAGTGCTCCCAAGAGTAATTTTCTTATAAATGCAAGCTTTAAAAAATTCTAGTGTTTTTTTTTTAAAAAAAGTATATATATTTATATATAGGATCTGGAGAGAGAACATAGCAGCTAAGAACACTTGCCACTCTTCTAGAGGACCTGAGTATTTGAGTTTGGTTCCAAGCACCTGCGATGTGCAGCTTGAAACTCCAGCTCTGGGGGATCTGATGCTTCTGGCCTCTATGGTACTTGTACTCATATGACATGTGCGCGCGCGCGCGCGTGCGCGCACACATACATTTTTATACTTTTAAAAAGTAAAGTCTTAAGAAGAAATTCAAACTTTTGAAGAGGACAAAAACCTAGTTTTTTTAATTTATTTTTATTTTTCATCGTTACCAAAATGTAGGGACAGTAGGGAGGGATTTGGGTAAGGATATCTATTTGGGGCCTTGAGTTAGGCCCTTATAATGTCTTGTTTTCCTGTATGTAGTAGTTCCTATTACTGAGAATAAACAGTTTATTAGTGTATCTCTGTATCTGTGATCATTTTATAAGTGTACGCATGTTCAGATATGTGTGGGTGTATATGTGTGTGGAGGACGCAAGTTGATGTAAGGTGTTTTTCTTCATTATTTTCTACCTTACATACTTAGGTAGGATCCATGACATGAACCCCAGAACTTCCTGATTTGGATAGTCTAGCTAGTCAGTGTCCCTCATATCCTCTCACTGTCCCTAGAGCACTGGATTTGCAGGCAGGTTGCCTCATGGATCCTGAGGACTCCAAACTTTGGTCATCAACTTGGGTGCCAAGCACTGAACCATCTCCCCAGCTTATCTGTGAATATTTGTGAGTGTCAAAACTACGTAACAAGATCATTTGTCACCCATTTAGAATTTGATCTTCAGTTTTCATTTATATTATTTGAAAAATAATTGGTAGTATAACATATTTGGCTTAAAATCCCAATACTCTTTGTGTGTGTGTGTGTGTGTGTGTGTGTGTGTGTGTGTGTGTGTGTGTGAGTGTGAGTGTGTGTAGGTAGGTAGGTGGTAGGTAGGTAGGTAGGTAGGTAGGTAGGAGTGGGCTCACATGTGCCATAGCACACGTGGAAGTCAGAGGACAATTTTGTGGAGGCATCTCTCATTCCACCTTTATGTGGCTTCCACAGATTAAGCTCAGGCCTTCAAAGCAAGCATTATGCCCAGTGAGACATTTTGTGGGCCTAGAATGCAATAGTCTAAAATTGGAGTGCATCATCAACCCTCTCCCTCAGGAGGACAATAAGGTTACTGAGAGAAAGGGATGCAGAACTGTGCAGAAAGGGATGCAGTGTGGCCTGTGAGCTGCATGCAGCCTCTGATAGCTGTGAATGTGGCTACACAAAACTGTAGACTTGCCTGGTGGTGATGGCGCACACCTTTAATCCCAGCACCCAGGAGACAGAGGCAAGTGGATCTCCAAGTTCGAGCCCAGTCTTGTCTACAGAGCAAGTTCCAGGACAGCCAGGGCTACATGGAGTAACCAAAAACAAAAGCAAAACAAACCCAAAGAACCAACAAACAAAAAAAAACCTGTAGACTTACTTAAGACATGAGTTTTGGGGGGTAGGGTGGTTACTCAGTTGTGCAGTTCTTGAGCGTGAACTTTGTAGATGACAGCAATGAGTCATATCAGCACTAAAAGTTTGGTCAAGGCTGAAGGTATTTAAAATTTCCCATGCTTTCTCTGCTGCATTTTATTTGTTCTACCAATATGCATTTCTAAGACAGAATGAATTCATTTTGGTCTGCTGGGCATTGCTGCTATCATCATCATCATCGTTATTATTTTATTTTTGAGATAGGGTTTTTCTGTGTAGCTGTGGCTGTGCTAGAACTCACTCTGTAGACCAGGCTGGCCTTGAACTCAAGAGATCCACTTATCTCTGCCTGCCAGTGCTGGCATTAAAGGTGTCCACCACCACTCTGGCTAAGGCCTTATTATTATTACTTTTGGTTTTTTGAGACAGGTTTTCTCTTTGTAGCTTTGGAGCCTGTCCTGGGACTCACTTTGTAGACCAGGGTGGCCTCGAACTCCCAGAGATCTGCCTGCCTCTACCTCTCGAGTGCTGGGATTAAAGGCATGCACCACCAACTCCTGGGGCCTTATTACTTTTAAAAGGCAAAGTATTATATAATTTTAATGTGCAGGATAGAGCAAACCACCAGTTATCCTCAAAATACTGAATGTAGATGAAAGATACTGATGGGTGTTCCCACTGGTAAGAAAGTGAGGTTGTGTACAAAAGTGTATCCTACAGCTTTAAAAACCGTAAAGATCATTTTGCTTTGTTTCTGCCTAATTGATTTTTCCATTCTACTTTCTCTCTTAGTACATTTGTGTGGTTCCGGAATTTAAATGAAAATTGGGTGTGGTGTCCCCCAGTTGTGATCTTGCTCCCTAGAGGCTGAGGTAGGACCATTGCCATGAGTTTGGGGTCAGCCTGGATTACAGAGTGCATTATTGTCACAAAGTAACATTTAAATGATATTTTTATTTTGGATTTTTCTCTCTAAATTCATGTGCTTTGGCTCCTTAACAACATTCGTCATAGGAACATGACATTAATAAGGAATCCTTGTCATCTTATATTTTTATACTTAAAAGGCTTTAAGTGTTTTATTCTAGGGAAAAAAATGAGTCAGTGACTTTGTTAAGTCTTACCAGAATTTGGTCTATAAAAAGAAAAGAAAGAAAGAAAATTCAGGATACAAAGCTGTAGTTTCTTTCTGTGGTACAGACTTGGCACTGTGAAGGCAGAGGTATGGCTCGCCTTTTTTCAAAGCAAGTCTGAAGACCTGGCAAGATGGCTCTCTGGGTAAAGTACTTCTACACAAGTAGGAAGGCCGGAGTTCAGATATCTAGCGCCCACATGGAAAGCTGGCCCCAGTAGCACATTCGTAACCTTTAGTGCTGGAGTGGATTCTAGGGGCTCCCTGACAGCTAGTCTATCAGAAATAGTGAACTCCTGGTTTATTGTAAGATCCTACCCTGTCTCACAAAATAAGGTGGAAAGTACTCACGGAAACCTAGCCTTTGTACACATGGACTCACATGGGCAGGTGCACCTACACACAGGTGCACACACATTTGCCACACATATATAAAGAATCCCAACAGATTTCTTACCTGACACTTAGGAAATAAGTACATTGTGGAAATTTATCAGGATGATACATTCTTGACTTTAGTCGTTGAGATGGTTTAGTGGAGGGGAAGGGTACTTGCCACCAAGCCTGATGATCTGATTTCAGTTCCTGGAACCCAAATTGTGAAAGGATAGACCTGACTCACAGTTTGTCCTCTGACTTCCACATATGTGCTAAGATATGCGCACACACATACATGCTGGTAAAGAAAAAACTAAGTAAAATGTTAAATCCTTGAATGGGCCTGGAGCTATGACTCAGTGGTTAAGAATGGGCACTGCTTTTGCAGAGGATTGGAGTTTGGTTCTTAGTGCACATGCTGGGTTGCTTGGAGCCGCCAGTAATTCCTTTGCCCTCCGTGAGCACCTGCACTCATGAACACAAAATTTAAAATAAAATTAAAATCCCAAATTCACAGTAGGCGAAAGCAACCCTGTATGCTTTGCTAATCTAGCAGTATTTGTAAACTACCTTTGTAGTTTAGTGAAAACCCATAAGTCTGTATTTCTCTATTTAAAATTGTTTCCTGAGAGTTTTGGTTGAGTTTTTGTTTTGTTTTTGATGAGGAAGCCATGTATGTTCAATGAAATTGTATTAAGAGTGGCCAGTTTGTTTCTGTGTGTTTCATTACTGCCCAAAGGTACAGAGTATGTGCAGTGTATAATGGAAAAGGGCCCACTGAACTAAAGGGTTAAAATGAAGACAGTGACTTTGAACTATTCTGTACCATTTGCTCAAATTTCAAAACACTGGAGTTTGGATTCCAGCACTCACATTGGGCAGTTCACAAGCACCACAGCTGCAGCTCCAGGGGCCCAGATGCCTTCCTGTGGTCCCTGCAAACACACAAACACACAAATAACTTTTTATAAAATGAGTTGTTTCCAGATAAATTTTCTATTTTAATATCCTATAATGAACTTAATTTTAAAATATTTATGTAATGGCCTATTCCCAGGTAAGATCCTATATAGCTCATATTATTCTTATTTATTTCATACTAATCTAAAATTATTATTGTGTTTGACATGTGAGGGAATACAGGTACATGTGTGCTGCGTTGTGCGTGTAGAATTTTGAGTAAAATTTTCAGGAAGCAGTTCTCCAGGATGTTGGGGAAAGACCTCCCTTGTTTCTGCTGTGCTGTGTTCTCCAGAATAGCCAAACAGCAGGTTTCCAACCCTGCAGATTGTAAGGGAAAGATTTTGTATCTTCTAACAAATAACAATATGAGAAACTATATTTCACCTCTAAACTTGACAAATAACTAGTATTTGCAAGAGACAAAGAATGCCAAGGTCATAAAAGTAATTAAATAAAGGTCCCAATAGGACAGCTGTCCAAGATTATAAGCAGGCAGTTTTTAGAAGAGTAAGTCTAATGAACTAAGAACATAAAAGTGTGTGCTCACACTCATTAGTAACCAGAGGAACCCAAATTAAAACGACTATTCTTTATACCCAGTAGACTGAAAAATTAGATGAATGTTGGGAAGTCTCGGGAATTGTGAGCAAAGTGTAAAGCTATTCTGAAGACAACCAGGCAGACTATAATCCAATGGATACACATATTACTTGTAGGTATAAATGCATAAAGAAACAAATACAGCTGGGTGGTGGTGGTGGTGGTGGTAGCAGCGTACACCTTTAATCCCAGTACTTGGGAGGCCGAAGCAAGAGGATCTCTGAGTTTGAGGCCAACTGGTCTACAGAACAAATTCCAGGACAGTAAGAGCTACATAGAGAAACCCCATCTTGACAAAAAACAGCAAACAAACCAAAAAGAAAAAGGAAAGAAAAGGGGGAGGGGAGGAGTAAACAATGATAACCATCACAGTGTTGATAGCAGAGGCTTAAATCCAACATGACATCCAGCACTGTGGACTTTTGTAGATACGATATAGTGGATGTATGTACATCTGATAAAAGCAAAAGATGACCCCCTATATTCACAATGTGTGACCTTTTAGAAATATTGGGACTAGAAAGATGGCTCAATGGTTAAGAGCACTGACTACTGTTCCAGAGGACCTAGGTTTAGTTCCCAACACCCACATGTCAGCCCACAACTGCCTACTGCCTGTACCTCCACAGATCCAACACTTTTGTCTGGCCTGTGCAGAATCTTGCACACACATAGTGTGTATACATACATTCAGGCACACACATATAAATAAGGCAAATATGTATTTTAAAATGTGGTGTGTATCAGAAGTTATAAACAATAGAATCTATTGCTTAATACTGTCAGTGTAAATTTTAAATGTACATAAGGTGTTGGGCAAGAGAATGTTCCAAGAGCTGTATCAGACACATTGGAACAGGTACATGAAGGCCCATGGACAACTAACGAAAGAAAAGCATAGTCAAATATGCTCATTCTATTCAATGTCAAAATTGCTACGACTTTTACTGAGGGTTGTATTAAGTTCTTTAAAAATACTTAATTTCTCACAAGAAACCAAAACTGCTAAAATGGTACCAATGAAAATGCAAAATTCCTCAGACCAAATAGAAGAAATTATACCCATGACTTGTACAGTAAAACTGCAGACTTGCTAACAGGAATGAGAATGTATACATAACAAAAGACATACTATGCTCATAGATTGAAAGACTCAACCCTGTGAAGACTTCAGCTTTCTTCACATGGATCTCTAAAAGTCCATTACAGTCCCAACCAAAATGCCTCAAGCTCTAAATACTTTTATGAAATAAAATAGCTGATTCTAACATATGTGTGGACATTCAAAAGGCCCTTTGGAGTAGCCAAGACAAAGGTGACAAGTTGGAGAGTTTAACCTGTTACCTGATTTTAAGATTCCCTTTGAAACTGAAGAATTAAGGCCCTGTAGTTCTTACAGGTTGGTGGATGAATAAATTAATGGGTTATTACTAAATGGAGACAGACACACAACACCAAGGGATTTTCAACAAAAAAAATGAAGCCAAGTTGGTAGGTGAAGGATTTTTTTTTCAACAAATGCTGATAGAAGCAGTTGGTCCACATGAAGAAAAAGATCCCTGTCCTGTGCCTTGTACTGTGTTCACAGATTAACTTGAAATGTTCACATGCCTAAATTGTAAGAGCTACAAAATTTTAAAACCTGTGAACTTAAATAATATAAAGTTTTCTTCAGTAAGATGTAGAAAGTAGGAATTATAGCAAAAAAACAAAAACAAAAACAAATTAGAATTCATCAAAGTTAAAAACAATCAAAGTTGGGACTGGAGAGGTGGCTCAGCAGTTGAGAGCACTGACTACTTTCCAGAGGACCTGGGTTCAAATTCCAGCACCCACATGGCAGCTTGCACCTGTCTGTAACTCCAAGGCTTCTGACACCCTCACGTAGACATACAGGCAGACAAAACACCAGTGAGCATTAAAAAAAAAAGCCAAAAATATGTTTTGATTATGTGCTGTTAAGAACATGAAAGGTAATCCATGCATATGGAAAAATACATGATAAAGAACTGCTGTTCAGATTTTGAGAGGTGGTTGATAGCATCAAGAAAACTGTTTTCCAGACACAACAGGATAGTTGCAATATGAACTCACAGGGATTGTGACTGCATTCAGAAGACCTGCTCAGTCCCAACATAGAGAGGGAGGTGGGCAGTGTAGCCCACCATGAGCTAAGGAGCTGTTGGAACTTGATAGCTGCTGGAATAGTGGGAGCCA